CAAGAAATACCTATTTTGGAAGTGTTTTTAAAAAAAGCCAAATTCAATAAGGTTCATCTAAAAACTTTTCTAATTAGAAAAAATATTTTCATAAAATTAATTAAAAAGGTAAAAATTTATCAACTTTTTAAGGGATCAACTTTAATTTTAACCCACATTTTATTGAATTCACGACTTTTATCTATTTCTCAATCATATATTTTATCATTTTTTAAATAAAAATCTGTTAAATCTTTTTTTTTTAAATCTAAAGCCTTGTCAAGCGGTTCCATAACTTGATCCTACAATCAGGTAATAGTTCTCTTGAAATAGAGAGATATTACTTAAGCCAAAATATGGATCAAGATATCGAGATTAATGCTTCCATCGTGGATTTTGATTTCGAAGCAAAACATGCTAATCTGGAAAATACTTTTAGAAAATTAAAAGTTATATCAACTTTAATTTTAATTACACGTTTAAAATTATTATTCATTATTATTCACATATCCGTTTCTTATAAAATGTTACTAATAAACTATTTTGAACCCAGGCCCTAGTTACATGATCATAATTGCAACTTGTTTAACGGATCGGTGAACAGACTAGGGAGGAAATTTATTTATTAATTTTTAATCAATCGATTGTTCTTAGTGACATGTATTATTAAAATTAAAAAGCGAAAGAGAAAATAGTGCAGAGAGCTGGAGGAGATGAAATTACGCCTACTTTTGGCTCATGTTTATAACTTTTTTAGTAACACTCGAGTCACTATTTGTTCACACATTTTGAAGAACTCACAAATAATACAAATTAATCATCACTTATTTTTTATTTATTTATAATTTAAATTGTTTATAAACACTTCTCAAAGATGCTTCAGAACAACACCAATTGAGAGTCAAACGGTAGTCAATATGGAGAGAATTGAACTTCTATGGGTTTGAATTTTTAATCAATTTTGCTACACTTACATTATGGTTGACAGCTTTGTTTACACTCTTTAACATGACACAATTTTTCTATTGATTTTAACAATACGTGTTCAAATCAATTACCTCGATTTTGACACCTCAAAGGGAGTCAAATTGGTTGTAGGTATCCAACTAGCTTTATTTATTATTAATTTTGTCGCTAGCCTGCCTTTGGGACTGTACTACATAATCTTTCTGGTGGACTCATGGATATTAAATGAGTTGAAACATATCGTATGGTTCATCTATTATTGGGCTTGGCTTGTTGCACAAGCTTGATCCTTAATGGGGCAAGCCGCTCGTAATAATTTTTTTTTTTCATAATATTATGTAAAGAGTTAATTTCATTAATGAAGACTAACATAATGATTGATTGGAAAAATATTGTAAAATACGGCGACTAATTAAAAATAAATGAAAGTTCAACGTTCGATTTAAAACACACAATAACTTAGTGACGTAATGAATTTTTTACCCCCAACCAGAACCGTCGGTGTCTACGCCGCCACCCAGCGGTGTTGAACATAACATGGCCACTTTGGAGAAAGGGCAAGGCCTTATAGAACTTTTAATAGAATAAATATTAAAAAAAAATCTAGGTGTACAGGCCCCATTTTACATGGTCTATACAGGGCCTCTCACATGAGTTGTGGGACCCATCTCATTAAGAAAATACTCCAAAAATGTCCACCCCTGTGTTTGTGAGGAGCCTAGGGGATTCTGTGAACCCCTACCTTGTACACCTAGCTTCGTTCAATAAATATTGTGGGCATTTTTGTAGAAGATGATAATTTACTGAAAAATGCTTGTCAGCCAAGTACAAAAATAGGTATAAAAACAGGGATTTGAATTTACTGAGGTGGCACTTATTGCACAAAAAAAAAAAAAAAAAAATTAAGAAACTAAACAAAAGGGGGAAGACCATAGTAACGAGAAAGCAAAAGTGGGAAACATAAGTTGCAAACCCTCCCTCTCTCTTGCCGCCGCACCCATCGTCGACCAGAGCATCTTCACCGGTAGTCCTTCCATCTCTGATTGTCCCTGCTCCTTCAATCTATTTTGGTGAGAAATAGTTGTTTGTCCATTTCATTGTACAAAAAGGAGTTGTTAAGTCCTTTTAGTAGTTTAAACTTCGATGCTTACATATACTGAAAGGTTTTCAAGTGCCCTAGTGAAGAAGGAATACTTCCATTAAAGAAGTTATCACAAAGATCAAGAGTCTGGAGCTTTGAGAGTTTTCCAAGTTTTGTTGGGATTGGTCCTGTTATGTTGTTGTTCTGTAATAGGCTGCATACATTTCATTCATTAAAACCAGCAACATAAAATGCAAAACTTATGAACCGTTATTAAACGCCGGAGACTGTGGAAGGAAAAACAGGGAAAAAATCGATCGACATTTGGGCTTTTAAATGTTAGATAAATGAGTTCCTTTTTTTTCCCATTTCTCCCTCTTCTTGGTCGATGACTACCGGTGCTCCGGTCGACGAAGGCGCGGCGGGACGGAGGGTTCGGGAACAATGGTTTTTCCCTTTGCTGTGTCGGTCCCAGATTTTTGCCAGTTTTGTTTGGTATTTCTAAGTTTATTATTATTATTATATTGTGCCTTAAGTGCCACGGTGGCAATTTTTAAATTCCTATGTTCAAGCCTGGCTGAGTAACAGGACTGTAATTTATTTAGGAAGAAGACTGACATTGCCACCTTCATCAAAAGCATGACATGACAGGAATACTATTGGGCTCGACTCCCAAAATATCCTCACCCTTCCTCCGAAGTTTTAAAGCAAATGCAAATGAAAAGAGTTGATTTCCTAGGGTTAATTTTGAGTAATTACATCAGTTGTTAAAATTATTTTTTCATGTCACTTGGATTTTTTATATTACATGGTTATTTGATCAATGATCAAAAAAGTTAACATTGATACGTGACACTATAAAATATCAACGTGTCATCAGATGACGATATTTGTTATGTCAAGTAAGCAAAATTATTGATAAAAAGATACTGTATGATTTAAGTCAAAAAATTATATCAAAATAAAATTTATCTTATGTTTTCTCATTTTAATGTGTTTAATCTTTAAATTTTAACCGGGGATGGATCCAAAACCAGGTTACAATTTTTCAAGCAGAGCTAATACTCGGAAAAAAAAATTACACACAAAAAACTGTTTTTTCAAAAAAAAAAAAAAAGAAAGAAAGAAAAATGCATTAAAAAAATAATGGTAACATATTGATACTTAATTGTGCAATACAAGATTTAATACTTTTCTTAAAAATGATCAATAATGTAACAATTAGAAAGTTGAGTGACTATTATTGTAAAAAAATAATTTCAATTATCCATGATTACTTAAACCTTCCATGACCATCGGTGTATTTAACCCAACAAATGGTCATCAAAGTTCAAGTAAAATTATGGTTATTAATGTTACATAATTGTTCATTCTTTTAGCGACATCTGCTCTAGATCCGACATAGGCACGTTAAAACATTGATACCGACAACCATTTTTATTCATATTGTGTAATAGATATACAAAGCCAATGGCGAATTTAGGGGATTGTTTTTAATTGAAAAGAAAAAAAAATTAATGAAAGATGCTATTTTTAGGAGAAAAGACCCTATGTTTTGCTTTAAAAAAAAAAAAAAAACCCCCAAATAACTTGCCTTAACTCTAGAATGATCAATCATTTTACTAGTGCACGCAAAGGTTTAGTAATTACCGTGTTGGATATGACGTTGATTATGGTTAACAGATTAACCAATTGTATAATATGATTTAACTTTAGTAACTATATGGATTAAAAAAAAATTAATTTATGAGTTATGACCAATATGAAATGCTACTTAAACTGAATTGAGTATTAAAGAAATTAACACCAAATGAAAATATTAACCAATAGAATTTAAACATGAACAATGAAATATCTAAAAAGCGAATTAATGAATGGATAAAATATATACATGTCTGTCTTCTTTAGTCGTTAGAATATATTATCTGTACCCTTATTTATAATTCAGCCAATACAAATGAGCGAAGAGAAAGGAAAAGAGAAAAGGTCGTTTGGACATAAACTCATTACTACACCCCTGCGTATTGAACCCTATGTCGACTCATCACATGCAATTCAAATTCGGTCAAAATTCTTCTCTGCAAAGTACGTATTCCTAAAATTAATATTCCATTGGCATTAAAAGTAAGAAAAGCAGATAAATACTTGTCAATTTATTATACTTTTCCCTTACTTGGCTTCACGCGCCTTATTTATTTACTTCCCTAAGTACCTTGCATCCCATCCCACGCACACCAGAAATATCAAAATCCAAGTGCAAAGTGCAAACTGACAGTCCCCGGGAAAATTTCATTTACAATCACTGAACTTTAATTTATCTCAATTAAATCTCACTAAATTTCAGTTTTGTTTTAATTACGTCACCGAACTTCAATTAGATGTCACGTTTCACCACTTTCTCACATGTTGTTCGTAAATTGAATAAAATTGTTTACCTGACAATTATAAAGTTATAAATAATCTACACAATTATTGTGTGGCATGTCAACTTACCACTACACCACGTTATATTATAAAATAAAATGTACGTTTTAAACTTTTAGTGTAGGGCCATTACCATAATCCCCATTTTACCATTTGCATTTCTAGTGTTTCTAGAAACAATTACGTGAAAGATTAGTTACAATATAACTAGGCAATTTCCATCAGCTTTGGATGAAATATTGTAAGAGTTGTAGAATTTGAAATTCAATTGAAGATAATAACCAAAAGACAGATTAAAAAATTTAATGAAATTTACCCTATTTATTTCCCCAACTGCAACCCTTTTCCAAAATCCAAAAGCCCAAGCGCAAAACTCACTGTCACTCATTGTCTTTTCCACTCTAAAAATAAAACATGACAAGATATCATAGAAAGGAGGAAAAATTAACATAGTAGGAAGAGAGTGAGAACCCACCCACGCCATCAAAAAGTATTATCTGATTCATTTCATCAATTCTAAGCCAGAGAAAAAAAAAAGTTAGAAAAAAAAATGATGTGCTACGTGGGGAAGGCAACGAAGATCTTCATCTTCCTTGTGGCAGTGGTGGTAGTGACTGGTCTTGTCTTGGGATTTGGGTTATTCAAGCATGCACTTCATCACAAGACCCACAAATGTACAGACGAATCTTGTCAACAATCCACCACCCCAGTAATCTTCCCTCCACCGCCGCCGCAGCCACATGGTGATAATCCTAGCCCAAACGGTCCCAATCCCATATCTCCACCACCTAGGGATAGTCCTAGCGAAAATGTTCCTAATCCATCTGTATCTCCTCCTCCTCCTCTTTCACTGCCTCCACCACCGCCGCCAGCAGAGTCTTTGCCTCCGCCTCCGCCGCCGCCGCCATCAGTGGTGCCGCCACCAGCAGTCAGTCCTCCTAGCCCAGTGTCCCCGGGTCCTGTGAATTTTTAGTTGCATTTTTTTGTTGGGGTGGGTTCTAATTTCTTTAATTTTTGGTCTTGATTTGGGTAATCCTTAGACGGATTTGTATATGTTTTATTTTCAAGTGGATTATTCCCAATTTTCTTAATTTTTCATTAATTTGTCAATTCACAGTAGAGATTTTTCTATTTGACATATCATTCATTTTCATGAAAAAGTTTGGAATGATTCTTTCGATATTATAACATTCCTAATCTTTTAAAAATTTTATCTTATATTTACTCTATTTTGAATATTTGAATATAATTTCATTCTATGATCTAATAAATTGGAATAATCTGCAACATATTATTTATATTTATTATTTAATATATTATATTCTTCAGAAGATGCATCCACATTTTTTAATTGAGAATACATCTTTTTTATTACTTCTAACATCCTTTCTAATAAATTATCCAATCATTTAATTGTATATCTTGACATTTATTCATACAAATAATCATCAAATGATGCAATTAATTCCTTTAATTCTCTAAGATCTAAAAAAATTGATTCTAATTTTAGCAAAAATTTAATAGTTTTACCTTAGATTTGATTTGGATCTTTATTCTTAGAATCAAGTAACTTTTGAGCTCTGAATATGTAAATTGCTTCCTTCAACGACCTTCTGCCTTCACGGAATCTTTACAATTTCAAATTCTTGCTCTCACTGTATCATTTCTAAAGAATAAAATTCTAAATTTCTATTAAAGAAAAACTTTCTTTTTGCTCAAATAAGAAGAAAATTTTCTATTAGATCCTTCAAGAATCGTTGGGAATAAAGATTTAGAAACTCATATTGATATCAAAATATTGAAATTTTATTTCTATCAGAACTTTTGCAAAATTTCTATTTGGTATAGAAGAATTTTCAGAAAAACTGGTTTTCTAAACTAAAGATGGATTAGGAGTGGCTGTTGATTACAATTCGAGATTTCAAGATGATTTCTATCTATTACAATGCCTCTATTTATACAAGTCTATGAGGTTCTACTACATCATTGAGTACATCAGCAAAAACACACTTGCCTCTCTATTATTTTTCTTCAACTTTTTATCCAAAAAGCATATTTTTCTATTATTGTCATTTATCTTCTATGTCTTTACATGCAACTGTATTATTGTCCTCCATATAGCTTTGTCAAAGGTGCTCCATTATTGTCTTCTTTTTTCACATTTAGTTGGGGCACTCTCTTAGATGGCAGGATTCTTTTATAGTGATAGGACATCCTGAAAATTGATGTATTTCGAATCTTGTAATATAATTCTTCAATATTTTCTGATTTTCCATGTCCTTGATTTGAAACCAGCATCCAGTTTTCATATTGGCACAGGCATGAAAATTTTTTGTCAAACAAATTTTTGACGATGTTGTATATGACTTTAATTCCAAGTGCTCTTTTATGTCTTATCCATGATTTTGTCACTGTTGAAATTTTTCTATCATTTTCCACCACATTTATTGGAAGTCGGCTGCTACATACCCAATTGATATTATATGTTCAACTGGATAATAAATAACTCCATCGTATTTAGGACTTATTGAGTAAAATTTTAAATATATTTTTCGTCCTTCGGCAAATATGGATACTTCTTTTATGAATATATAATCAAATTTCGAAATTTCTATCAAATCTTTTCCCGGATATATCAAATCCATAAATCCATAGTCTGTTACAATTTTTATAAACGAAGGGTCTCCTCCTTCCATAACTTTTATTCTGGGATAAACATTATTTCCCGAAAAGATGAAATATGAATCACTCATTTTTATTTCATAAGCAATTCTGACTATTTCAGCATATTTTTCTTTTTTTGGATCTAAAAAGATTTTATCTTCTTGGTTTATGATGCTGATTGTTTTGGAATCTCTTTTATCTCCATATATCATCACTTTTTTGGTTCATCATACTGAAATGAAATCTCCTTTTTTATCAATATTGTCACGTTCGGGTCCACTGCTGCTTCCAGTTGTCATTGTTTGGTATTAATTTGGAAAACTCATTTCTGAACTCTTTGGTATATCTGTATCAAACAACATATCTTTTAGTTGTGCTGCATTAGTATCAACTTGATTTTTGAGGTCTATGGCCTCTTTATGATGCTCAGTAGTGATATTCAATAATATTTTTATATTTGAGTTGAACATCTCTGAGATTTGTGTTACTCCAGTATTTTTATCTTCAGATTATTCTTTAAGAAAATCTGTACTTTTTTTGTATATGTAGGATAGATTGGTGTAACTTCATGACTTTAGTTTTATCCATCAGCAAATTCTATATTTCTACTAATAAAATTTGCAAGAAAATTATTAATTCTTTTAATATGAACTATATCAAAATTATAAAATGCTAAATAAGTTTCCCATTTATGGAGCCTTCCGTATTGAGGTCCTAATGGTAATTTATTCCTGACTAATCCTGCAACTTGAGAATTATTAGTTTCAACAATAAATTTTTTGGATAACAAAAATAATGAGAACTTTGTTATTCCTCTAATAATTGTTAATAATTCTCTCATGAGTGGTATAATTTATTTCTGCTTGATTAAAAGTTCTACTTGAATATCTACAAATTTCATTTAAATATGTTTTTAATATTGCTGCCCAATATTTATCTAAAGTACCAGTATTAACAATCAAATTATCTTTTTCATCTGGTAATCTTAATTTTAGTAAATTTTTATATTCTTCTTTTAATGATTTAACTATTTCTGTATGTTCCTTATTTCATCCTTTAATATTTGTTTTTCTAAGTAAAATTTGTATTTTATGCATTTTCTTAGAAAGATTTTCAATAAAACTTTCAGCATAATTTAAACATCCTAAAAAATTTTGTATTTGTTTTTTGGATTCTAATTTATCTGAAAAACTTTCTATCTTTTTAAATATATGAGTTTGCAATTTTATTCCTCTTTTATCTATTGATAATCCAAGAAAATTTATATCTTGTTTTTCTATTATAGATATCTTTTTAGAAAGTACTATTCCTTCTTTTTTACAATCATTTATAAATTGTATTAAATGAGTCCTATGTTTTTATTTACTGATAAAACATATTAGTATATCATCTATATAAACAATTAGAAATTCATTTAACTTTTTAAATATAGGGAAAATTGCATCCGAGATACCAAACCTTTCGTCTATTAGTAGACTTTGCCCAAATTTTTAGTTTTTGCCACCCATGATACCAGACCTTTCAAAAACTCGCAGTGGAAGTCTAAATGGATGGAAACTGTTAATTTGACTGTTAGTTGACCAAAGATTTAACATTAACCATTATTTTGACTAATTTTAAAAGGATAAAATGGTAACTTTACATTTTTTCAAAAAAAAAAATTACAATATATTAATAATTAAATCAAAAAACAAAAATACTATTCATCTTCTTCTCCACCACCCCCCCCACACACTCACCCATCCACCCACACACTTCCCAAAACCAACACCTACCAAAAAATCGGCACCCACCAAAAGCCATTTTCTTATCAAATTTCCCTTTACTCATATCACCTTCCTCTTCTTTCCTTCTTAATACTAAATTCTTACTACTCCTTCACCCCAACCACTTGACTATTATTCTGAATTTTTGTTTGCTTGAATTATGTGCAAATTATTGTCATATTTACTTGAACTTGGTATTGTAAGATTAATAACTATTTTGAAGTTTTATACAGATTATATGTTGAATTAGTGTCAAGAATTAGCTGTTTCCACTTAATTTCATTGTACTTTCAGATCTTTGTGTTATAAGGAACCAGTTATATAGCTTAATTTGATGTGGGTATTTAGAGACTCATTTTGAGTAGAAGGGATCTAATTGCTTTGAGTTTTCTAATAGATCTAGTAATGCATCAAATGGAGTGGGGGAAAACCTCTAATTTAATGGCAGTAAGACTTTCTTCTTGTTGTAATTTGGGATCAACTTCATAAAAGGAGTCGAGAAATTGATTGAGAATAAGGTTTTGTTCTCTCTATTTCGTTTGTTATGGATTTAATTTTAAAGAAATGTCTTGGACAAAGTGAGATCTAGATTCTAAGATAAGCATTTCAGGATGAGCGGATGTAGAAATTGGTGGGTGTTGGTTTTGGGAAGTGGGTGGGTGGATGGGTGAGTGTGTAGGGGAGTTGGAGAAGAAGATGAATAGTGTTTTTGTATTTTGATTTCATTATTAATATATTGTAATTATTTTTTTTTTGTTGAAAAATGTAAAGTTACCATTTTATCCTTTTAAAATTAGTCAAAATAATGGTCAATGTTAAATATTTGGTCAACTAACGGTCAAATTAACAGTTTCCATCCATTTGGACATTCACTGCGAGTTTTTGAAAGGTTTGGTATCGTGGGTGGTACAAACTAAAGGTTTGAGCAAAGTCTACTAATAAATAAAAGGTTTGGTACCTCGACTGCAATTTTCCCTTAAATATATTATCCATTTTTCTTTAATATATTTGTGGTGCATTTTTTTAATCCAAATGACATTATTAACCATTCATATTTTCCTTGAGGTGTACTTAATGCAGTATTTTGTCTACTATCTTCTTCCATTTTTATTTGCCAAAATTCTGATTTACTGTCGAATTTAGAATAATTTTGTTTTCCTTTTACAAGATTTATTAAAACTTCTTTATTTGGTAAAAACTATCCATCAAATTTAGTATATTTATTTAATTTTTTATAATTTATAACAATTCGAGCTTTTCTTCTAACCTATTCAGAATGTTTCATAATCATAAATGTTGGACTACTATGAGGTCCATTGCTAGATCTAATAAATTTTTGTTCTAACAAATCTTTTATCTGATTTTTGATTTTTTTGTGTATCTTCTATAGTATACATCATTGGTCTGACTCTTATTATAATATTTTCTGTCAATTCTATTTTGACTTTAGGGTGACGTGGTTTCCAAAATAACAATGGATTTTTTTCTATAAATTTTTTCTAATTGTTCTATATTTTTTTTTTTACTTATT